GAAATGTGGATAATCAAATGTTTCTTTCTTGTTTTTTCCATTTCTTTTAAAAAATATGAACCATTTCATTATAAGGCAATGTTCTGAAGCCAGAATAAATCATTATAGCAGAAATATAACCTGTTACAAAAAGAAAAATGATAAAAGAAAATAAAATCAGGGAAATGTTAAAATGTTGGTGCACTAAAAAAAAGATGATTTATAGTATAGTTTGTCTTTGGAATCTTTGTAGGGGGAAATCAACTTCTGTACCTGAATAGATGAATTTAAAAATTGAGAAAAGAAATGTCGTCATCAGCATGGGTTTGTTTTAGGATATAACGGTCACCTATTGTATACATTTTGCATTCTTCCAGTGCTATAGTAACCCAGTCAGGCTCACCTGAGAACTTTGTGTTCTCATGATTTCTTCTGTGTCTTTTTTTAATGGTTATTAGAATGCTTCAGAATAACACTGTGTGAGCCAAACACAGAGTCAGCGTGGAATGTGAACACCTGATGGCTTTCCATGGCTCTGGTCCCTTCCTTTCCCTTCCCATCCTTCTCTTCCCTTCCCCTCCCCCTCCCCCTCCTTTTCCCTCTCCCCTTCCCCTTCCCTTCCCTTTTCTCCCTTTCCCTTTCCTGCCCTACGATTAGAAAATTGCTGAGGTAGACATGGCAGGAAGAGAAACACTTCTAATTACAGTGGGTATTTACTTTGCAGAACTATATTCTACACTTAAAGGAATATTTTTTCCTTCCTCTTGAACCCAAAGCATATCGATTTCTGGAAGCACTGTAAGAGTCTTGAGTAAAATGTAAGTTACTTTCCATTTCCTTTCTGGGGCATCAGGATGAAAATCTGACAGGCGGGCTCCAGTGTGACAGGGCCAACCTTTCCTTTCACCCCTTGGAAAGTTCACTTGGCTAAAACTGAATTAGAGTTGTGCTGCTCGATTTGTAAGTTAATATGTCCTTGTTAAAATGCCTCCGGGCAAAGAAGGTCAGAGAGATACCCCTCATAAAAACGATTAGGTGGGATTGGTAGACAAGATAATGGGGTGGGAGGAGGGTAAGATGGGGAGCAGGAAAAGTCCCAGAAGTTAGAAAGTCTGTATCAGGCAATGTCTGTGTGCCACAGCCAGGTGGATGGCCATGAATTTCTAATACTACTGGATAGAACACTGCTTAAGCTGACCCTGGGACTTATATGGTGGGTGTGGAGTTAGGTTCAATTACTTTAGGGTGCAATGTCATGCCTTGTTGCACCCAGGGTTGAAAAAACCTGCTATCTCTCTAAGGAGTTTCCTCAGAGGAAATGTTTTTGAGGTTCAAAAAAAATATATGTGTGTGTGTGTGTGTGTGTGTGTGTGAGAAAGAGAGAGAGAGAGAGAGAGAGAGAGAGAGAGAGAGAGAGAGAGAATTGGCACTGGTGGCTCACATCTGTAATCCTAGCTACTCAGGGGGCTGAGATCTGAGGATTGTCATTTGAAACCAGCTCAGGCAGGAAAGTCTGTGAGACTCTTATCACCAGTTAGCCACTAAAAATTCAGAAGTGGAACTATGGCTCCTAGCAGTAGAGTGCCAGTTTGGGGCAAAAAACTAAAGGAGAGCGCCCAGTACTGACTCACTGATTCTCTCTCTCTCTCTCTCTCTCTCTCACACACACACACACACATACACACTATAGTAAACAGTTCCTGTGGCTGCTGTGCTGGGCTGCTGGCACCAAAGAAGGAGCATGTGTACCCCACCCTCAGGTGGGTCCTGCATCACTGGTAAGCTCTTTGAGGCTTGTATGGGCAAGCCCCATGCTGGGAGATAGCAGTGAGCTGCTTGTCCTTCCCTGGCTGTCCCACAACTTCTCAGGTGCTCCACTTTAAAGCCCCATTAAGACCAAGATGGGTCACACCTTGCTTGCTACCTGCTAAAGGGAGAAGGAAAGTCAGGCTGGCTCAACCTCCATCTCTGTCCCGAGTCTCTCTTGCCTTTCTGGGGGCCTCTTTATGTTTCTAGACATGCCAATGACTGCTGAAATAGATCTGACAAATACTTTCAAAAATGATTCTTTCCCCTTTAACCTATAGGCATTATTTGTTCTCTTCACAGCTTGTAGGACCTGCTTAGCCACTAGGTTTTCTTAGCACTTGGCTAATGTTCAAGAGCTGCTACCTGTGTTCCCTGTGAAGAGCTCAGCCCAGCCACTGCCCAGACAGTCCCCAGTCCAGAGCCAACTTCAGGGCACTTTGTAGAAAGTGAACAGCCTCTGGGTGAGACCTTTCAGCTGAACTCACCTTGAAGACACTATAGGCACCCCCACCAACATCCATTCCCCCCACCAGCATCCATGCCCCCTCACCATCCATTCCCTATCACCATCCATCCCCCCACCAGCATCTATCCCCATCAGCATCCCTCCCTCCTCCCCCGCCTCCTATAAAAATAGACAGCAGTACAACCAGTTGAAGGACCATGTGTCCAGCTTCTCCTACACCAGGAGGATTCCATGAATTGCAAGCAGGAAGTCAGTGGCACTTGAGATTACTAGAAAGGTCCTAAAAGGTGGCATATGTGGCCACGAAGCACATTTCTGTGCCTTCCTTCATCTTGTCTTCTACAATGTGCATGTGAGAGCTGGCCACTGTGGTAGCCAGATAGTGACCATGAAATCATACTAAATATGGCAAATACTAAAGTCAGTACTAAAAATGGCAAAGCAAGAAGAGAAAGGGTCCTGATGCTCTGACGATCTCAGATCTACCACTACAGCCCAGCTGCCCATGGCCTGCTTTTCTGATGTGAGAACATCTCAGACATGCCTCCATTTTGTCTAAGAGACTTGTCATTGGGGCCTGTTTCCAGCAGCACAGACACTGTCCTGAAGTGGTTACAGACAGCTGAGAATTCACTTCACCAAGTGGCTCTACCTTTCCAACTGCCTCAAGCACTGTCTTGGGGACAGCCAAAGTGGCACATATGAACAGCTCTGAAAGGGGGCATTGTGCCACTCAGATACACATCTCAAGCCCTTCTCACTCACAACCCTCAGAGCAGGGCCAAGCCATCACCTTATGGCAAAATTAATGTTCTTTTGTGTTGGGAGCTGCCCTTGTCCCCTCTGCTCCCTCCCATCTTCAGATTCATCTCCCAACACAGCTGTTAGACCTCCAGCATCTTCCCAATGCCAAGAGCATAAAAGCCAAATGCTGACTCCTTGAAGGCCTTCACAGTTGGGCTCAGATCTGCTTCTCTCTCCCTCCCTTGTCTTCAAATGCACCATAAAATGAGAGTGTCCCAGGTGACCGTAATAAGGGATCTGTAATAGTAGTCTTTGTCATTTTCAGTCTTTCTAAGTTTATTGTTGTTTTGTTAAATAGATTAATTAAAGATAGCTTTAATTGTCTGGGTTTCCAGCTCCTTTCCTCTTCCATTGAGTAATCAAGGATTACTTACAGATGGACGGGCACTTCCATGTCTGTCCTGCGTGTTAATATCTCTGCTGGTTGCTGCGCGGGCGGAACTGGCTGCACTTAATTTATAAGGGAGGATTTATGGACTTGGGGATGACAACAGACAGGCAATCAATAAGGGATGATAATAACAGCATGTAATATCAAGGAACATTAGGTCTCAGGCATGATTTGGGGACAGAAGTGGGCAGTTGGAAACCTTATCATTTGAAAAAGGTCAAGGCCTGGTAACAATAAAAATGCCTAAGCAAATAAAATCACACCTGTGAATCAGAAGCGGAGCATAAATCGCCAAATGGAAAGGGATTTTAGATTTTTTTGTGGAAAAATGACTTCCTTGGGCAAGGAGTTGGGTTGTTTGCAGGATACATGTGAGGTGTGCATCGAGTGAGATTCTATTTCTCACTGCTCTGGAGAACAACAATGAAACACAGATGGTGCAGAATTCCTCCATCATGGTCAGCTCTTTCTGGGGGAGGCATTAGATGCCGTAGAAGCTTCAGTCCTACACTGTGCATTTAAGACATCTGTCTGGTCTTTTGCAGGGTGGGGGTGAGGTAGAGGGGAAGAATATTCTTACTTATCTACTAAGTGAAATAGTTTGCTTGTGTAATTGAAAAAGTTAAAAAGCAAGAGTTGAGAATTCCATTACCCTATCACTTAAAACACCTAGCACCTGCCCTCTGGAAGACACTTGCAGAACTCCACAGCTAGCTTGGCAGCAAAACACTCACTCCATCTAGAAAAGTTCACATCCAGAGACCCTCTGTCAAGAATCTGTGTACAAGCAAAGGGCATTGGAGAAACTTTCTGTCCTCAGTACCTAGCTGGGACATTATAAACAGAGCACCACTTCAGGTTAGGGAAGGCATAGAGATGGAATCACATCCATGATGGGCTTTCTTCCCTAGAGGTTTGCATCCTCTACCTTTCCTCCCTATCCCCTCCCTCTCTCTTTCTTATTCCTTTCTTCTCTTTTTGTTGCAGTATTGGAGACTGAAGTCAGGGCCTCATGCTTGCTAGGCAGGAACTCTACCACTTAAGCCACCCCTCTTTGCTTTAGTATGTGTTATATTTTTTGGATAGGGAAGGCAGTCTCAAATGATGATCTTCCAATTCTACTCCCAGTAGGTAGGATTTCAGGCTTTTGTACTGATGCCCAGCCCCATTTTTACTTCTTTTGATTCTTCCTGCTTCGTTTCCTCCTCCTTTTTCTTTTGTGCCCTAGTACTGGGGCTTAAACTCAAGACCTCATGCTTTTCCCTTAGGTTTTTTTTTTTTTAATTCTTCCCTCTCAAGGCCGGTGCTCTACCACTTGTGCCACAGCTCCACTTCTGGCTTTATGCTTAGCCAACTGGAGAAACGAGTCTCCTAGACTTATTGGCTCAGGATGGCTTCAGATCTCCATCTTCAGATCTCAGCCTCCTGGGTAGCTAGAACTACAGACGTAAGCAACAGCACCTGGCTGGTTGGTCTCATTTCTAACATACTCTGATAAAACCTCAACAACCCAGTTACCCACAGCCTTGAAGCCCTAGAAAGCAAGCTTACCTCCCTGTAAGGTGTACTCTGCCACAGCCCTGCTGAAGACGCCCAGGCCAGCTCCATTGTAGGCGGCCACCTGGATTTCGTACTGGGTCCAGATGATCAGATCTGTCACCAGGCAGTAGTTGACCTCAGGGCTGGTGATGTTCTTCTGTTGATGTTCGCCAGGCAAACCAGCCAGGCGGTATCTGGAGCAGAAAGGAAGCCATGAAGCAAAAAAGCAATGTAATCTGAGACTACCCAGGCTCTGCACAGCAAGAAAGAAATGGAGGTAAAGGACAGGGGCAGAGCCAAGAGGTCAACTTAGACACCACTGTTTCTCAATTCAACAACTGTAAATTCTTATTCTCTTAATTTCTTTGAAAAATTTTTTATTATCTTTAAGTGGTTGTATAAAGAAGTTCCCATTCTACAAATAGTATATGAATACAAAATGTCTGATAACATTGTCACCCTTAATTTCTCTTAATTTCAAGGATTACGAGCTCTGGGCAAAATGGAACTAGCATTTCGGTTGCATTATGGCTATAGAACAATTCTATTTGTTTATTTGGCAGTACCAGGGATTGAACTCAAGGCTTTGTGCTTGCTAGGTAGGCACTCTACCCCTGGAGCCATATTCCCAACCCTCTGTGCTTTAGTTCTTTAGATATTATTGTTATTATTATTTTCATATAGGACCTCATGCTGTTTTCCAGGGCCAAGGTGAGGCTGGAATCCTTCCTCTACTTCCTGAGTAGCTGAGATTACAGGTATGTGCTACTACCCATTAGCTCTGAATTCTAGCTTGTTAAGTATTGCTTTGTCCAGAAATGCAGTGACTCAGTTCTCAAAATATGAAACATGATTTTCACTGGGAATTGAGAGCTGCTTTCCTTTTCTGAGTGCAGTGTAGGGAGAAATCCCAAAGTGAACAACATGTGGTCTCTTGGCCCCGGCGGGTTGTCTTTCAGTTCAGCTTCTACCCAGGAATTCTAGGTTTGTCCAAATATATTCCAGTCCCAGAATAAATGACTCTGAAAAGTGTTAACACTTCTAAACTGTTAGTCCATTGCTAAAGATGACAAATGGCTTTTTTTGGGAGGACTTTTGTGAGTGCTTGGGGTAGCAAGCTCTTCCGTTTACTAAAGCAGAAATTTAAAAGTTGTGCTTATTAAAAAAGATGCTTTACTTAACTCTGTACTTACAAAATGTATAAATTAGGAAATTGCTTTTTGTACTATGGAAGGATTTTTTAACACATTATGTTGATTAGTAAATGTTTTTTTCCATGGTTTGGTTTATAGAAGTTAATGTACTGAACTCAGTTAATTCACCGAGCTTTTCTGGATCAGCCCCCCTGGGTAAAATGAGGGATGTGTGCGGCACAAGTAATAATGTCCTTGTCACCCAGAAGCTTTCCAACACATCACATCCAGAAGTAGTTTTTGGCTTTAGAAAACTGTGGCTCTGTGTGATAAATGGGAAGGGAATGAAGGATCTCAAACTAGACTGGTGGCAACAAACGTACTAGCTTTATGGCCCTCCCTGAGACTGCCCTGTCATCCAGGATAGAGCACCACAGCAGGAAACAAGTAGCTGAGACAGGTACAAAGAGACCTGGGCATTGCCAAGGCTGCTGTGATTAGAAAAAAAAATAAAAGCAGACCCAGAAATGCAGATGCTGCCATGGAAGACAACTTTCCAAAGCAAAGGACAGCTAAAACCTAATGGAGGAAGTAGAGAGGGGGCCATAAAAGTTTTTTTTTCATGATTATCAGTTTTCTGAGAGCCTTCTTTCTCTTGGCTTGTGACAGGCTGTTTGTACTTGGCAAGGACTGTTTGGTAGGAAACACAAATGCTCGAGAGCAGATAGCACCTGAGCGCATGAAGCCCCCAGGCCTCTCTCCTGATGTGTGATGGTGTGGATAGGAAATGCTTCCCTCCCTCAGGGATCATGTGTTGAAGGTTTGCTTCCAAGTTGTGAGTTCAATCACTGGGAGATGACTGGATCATGGTGGCTCTGATCTAATCAACAAATTCATGTATTAGTGGATTCCAGTGGTTCAATGTATGAGGTGACTGGAAAAGTGGGTTCCCAGGGCTTGCCTTTGAGAACACGTGTCTGTTTTCTTCCTTTTGTACCTCCAATTCTGGGATGCCATGAAGGGAGCAGCTCATCTCCTCATCATCCTTCTGCCACGATGCTCTGCCTATTATGGGCCCAAAGGCAATGCAGTTAAGGGCCTGAGCACCAAAACCTCTGAAAACTTTAGGCCCAAGTCAATTCTTTCTCTTTTCACTTGTTCCCCTCAGGTAGTAGGCACAGGAGGAAAGGTCACTAATAGGCTCTGTCTCTTGTCTATGAAGAGCAGGCAGCCCTTAGTGTGGCTCACCTGGTGGGCGCTTTGTGGGGGAAATGAAGGCTATTGAACCCCAGTTTGCCTCAGACTCTAATGTTTAGTGTTGTAGCTCTGCCAGCCAGGGACAGGTGCAATTCTTAGCAGGTGCTATGAAACACCCTCAAGGCGGTGGGCCTGGTTCCTGTCTGTTAGTCATGGTGAATTGGATGGTATCAGGCACATGCCTCACCCTTCTGGACCCTGTTTCCACCTTTCCTACCCTGGGAATTGCAAGAGGAGCATTTTGCTGGCAAGAATGGAAGGAAATAATGGATGTGAAAGGTAAAATGGCCCTCCTTTGTTTTAAAAGTTGCTCTTCTACTATGAAGTCTTGAGGCACAGAGCCTCTGTGAGGCTGTGTTCTCCTAAGCCATGCTACACGACAGTGAAAAACGAATCTTGAATTTGCTTCTTGTGAACGAGCTGTGCTCGCTGCTGGAACAGGCAGGTCGGTCCATCTGGCCAGGGCTTGGGGCGCTTGGCAGTGCTCGCCGGATGTCTAGGAAGGTCACAATTAATTTTGAGGGTAGGCCTCCTCCTCTTTGTGGGGGTCTGTGTTGCCCTGGAGACTGCTCAGCCATTGCAGGGTGATTTTTTATACAGAAATAAACAGGAGATCGTTTTTAAAGGACACAACCCCCTGCTCCTCTCTGAGAAACACCCTGCCCATTATTATAAATATTTTATCACTGTGCACGCATCCCAACTACTTGTTATGGCCAGGGCTGCAAAGGTGATTTATTTCCACTGGTTCTTCCATGTGTGGTGCCTGGGTTCTGACACAGTGGACGGTGCCCTGGAGGGTACTTGCTTGCAAACAGAGCTGATTTGCAGACCAGAGGATTATCTGTGAATGTTTGCAAGTGAATGCATTTTGGCATGGGTCTTTAATTTCTGAAAACTTCGACAGGCACAGGCCGTGGGTGTAGAGAGCCCTGATTTTTAGGGCTTTCTTCATTTAAACCCCCCAGAACACAGACACTCTCCTCTGTAGCTCTCCACTTGGCAGACACCATCATGGAAAATCCTTTAACAGTAGTAATCCCACCAAATAGAGAAATGCACAGTCTCTGACGTGGCCTCGTAACATCAGAGAGATTTTATTATTAAGCTCTGGTGCCCCGAGCCGGGTTCTGTGGGAGACTGTTACAGCGCTGGCTTTGACAGCCGCAGCCTGGAGAAGCTTCCTCCGGGTGCTGGCAAGGCAGCGGCTGCAAGGGGGCAAGCCAATTATTTCCATTAGTTGACGCGCACGAACAAGAGCTGGCGGAAGCTGAGCAGGAACACACAGCCCAAGAGCAGAAACCCAAGAGCATGAAGCAGAAGAGACTGGGGAAGAAGGTCAAGCCAACCGGGGACTGTCACAGACCGGGAACACAGTCCTGGGCCTGCCTGCAGGGAAGGTTCTCAACCTCTCTGACTTTCTTTAAATGGGGAAGTACAATGAGGGGCAGAAACAAAGGGCTGAGTGTTGACACTAGTTGTTCTTATACCCCAGGGATGCCTGTATTAAACGACTACAGGCAGACAATGATTTGGCTCATGTTTACAGGAGAACCCACAAAGCCTGAGGAAAACCTAGAGAACAGTCAGTGACTAGGTTGTGACAGGGAAATACTATACAGATATAGATCATACTCTGTGTATGTGTGTATGTGTGTGTGTGTGTGTGTGTGTGTGTGTGTATACTTTAGTATGTATATTTTTGGTAGTGAGGTTGAACACAGGGTCCTGTATTCTTGATGTTCTCTTTTCACTCATGGTTGGTGCTCTATCACTTGAGCCATGCTTCCAATCCAGCTTTTTTGGTAGTTAATTGGAGATGGGGGTCTCAGTCTTTTCTGGCTGGGCTGGCTTCAAATGCCATCCTCAGAACTCAGCCTCTTGAATGGCTAGGATTAAAGGCGTGAGCTACTGGTGCTTGGCTAGAGATCCCCGACGTTTAATTGAAATGTGGATGGCTATGTATAATAGTCTGCCTGGTTTCTGTAGTATGCAGGTCCAAGGAAATTCCATGAGGAAAATGTCCAGGATGTTTAGAGCTTAGGGCTGTACTGTGTTCCAGGCTTGTACTGGGGATGTGGGATTCGTTTTTCCCACAAAGCCATCCAACTTCACTAAAGATCAACAGATCCCAAGATCTCCCTTTACCACATCAACTAATTATACTGAATGACCTTTTTGGGTTGAGAGGATTACCACAATCTTTACCTGGCTTTTGGGGAGGCAGATTCCTGTAAAATTCAGGGCATGAAAACACTCAGCAGCCCATACAATTTAAACACAATTGCTGATAATGTGCATAACTGATGGAGCACTTCCCACACTAACTGAGCTGTGTGTTGTGCAAGAATTCTAAACCCTTAGAAATATCAATATTTTTGGGGCTGGGAAGATGGCTCAGTGGTAGAGTGCTTGCTTTGTATGAATGAGGCCCTGGGTTTGAATCCTCAGCATCACATAAGCAGAAAAAGCTGGAAGTGGCGCTGTGGCTCAAGTAGTAGAGCGCTAGCCTTGAGCTGAAGAGCTGAGGGACAGCGCCCAGGCCCAGAGTTCAGGCCCCACAACTGACCAAAAAAAATAAAAAAAGATTGCTTAAAAAATTTATCAGTATTTTTGGGACTGTGCTTAGTCAAAATCACATATAATAAGTCAGTGAATATGATGGGCTTACTGTACATATGTGCTGGGAATGAATGATCCTTCTTATACAAGAATAAAGAAACTTAAAAAGAAAACGCTTTTACAGCTCCTTACATTTCTAAGCCAGGAGCCGGTGGCTCAGGCCTGTAACCCTAGCTACTCAGGAAGCTGAGATCTGAGAACCAAAGTTCAAAGCCAGTCTGGGCAAGAAAGTCTGTGAAATTCTTATCTCCAATTAGCCACTAAAAAAGTCAGAGGTAGAGCTGTGGTCTCAGTGGTAGAGGACTAGTTTTGAGCAAAAAGCTAAGGGAGAGCACTGTGGCTCTGAGTTCAAGCTCTAGGACTGGTACAGGAGAAAAAAATAAAAAAATAAATCATGTGTCCGCTCTGGGACTTTGTTAAGCAAGCACGTGCTGCTCAGGAACTCAGAGCTCTGTGTGAGCCTAGGGTTGGTGTGTGGAGGATGGGTATAATGGATACTGTTCTTGTCCCAATCAAGGCAACAAAATTAACCAATACATCTGCAGCAGTCCGCTCTATTAGAGGAGATTTAATAATTATCCTTTCATCTTCCTTTACTTTTCTTATTTGTGTCAACATATCACTGCAATTATCACATTCAGTGTAATTTTTAAATTAGCGAAAACTTTGGCAAAGGAGTTTTTTTCTCTCTCTCTCAGACATGGCCAAGTTCTTTTATTTTGGCATCCAATCTTCCCTCATAAGGTAGGGATAGAAAATGGCCCACCCTTCAGTGGATTTGGCATACACATGTGCAGAACTGGCTGGCCCTGAGTTACAAAAAATACCCAGTTTTGTTTCTAACAACACCTAAACTGTGAGGTTTTAGTGCGAAAGGTGAGGTTCCATTTTCTTGAAATGCTAGAATATCTGGCAAAATTGAGCAATGTGTTAGCATGGCAAAAATTGGTTGATAACTAAATCCAATTAGTGCTGAGGCTGTGATTATGCTCAATAATGCATGCATCTGTTGAAAACTTATAAGTAATTAGAGGCTTTATAATGACTAGTGTACCTTCCTCCCTTACCCTAATGCTCCCCCTCCCATCTCCTGTCAAAATGCAACTTCTGTCATGTATGGTGGCTCAAGTCTGAAATCCTAGCTGCTTGGGAGGCAGAGAATGGGAGGATTGCAGCTAGGCAAGAAAGTTTTGATTCCAAGCTAGGCAAGAAAATTTGTGAGACGCCCTCATCTCAATCAATATAAAAGTGGTAGTAGAATACCACTTGCCATTCCAGCTATGTCAGGAAGTATAAACAAGAAGATCACAGGGTGACCAGGACATAAATATGAGATAGTAATGAAAAAAGAAAATAGAGTAAAAAAGGCAAGCACAAGACTCTTGAGTACAACTTTCATTATCCCTCCTCTATCAAAAGGAACTACTGGGCCAGGAATGGTGATTTATGCCTATAATCCCAGCTATTTCGGAGGATTATGGTTTAAGACTAGCCAAGGTGGGCGCCAGTGTCTCACGTCTATAACCCTAGCCACAGGAGGCTGAGATTTGAGGACTGAGGTTCAAAGCCAGCCTGGGAAGGAAAGTGTGTGAGACTCATCTCCAATGAATCATCAAAAAGCTGAAAGTGGAACTGTGGCTTAAGGGGTCAAGCACTAGCCTATGAGCACAAAAGCTCAAAGATAGCACTCTAGCTCTGAGTTCAAGCCCCAGGATGGGCACCAATACAAAAAAAAAAAAACCAACCAAAAAAACATACTAGCCAGGACAAAAAAATTAGTGCCCTATCTCAAAGAACAAGTTGGGCATGGTGGCCCATTCCTATAATATTAGCTATGCAGGAGGCAGAGGCAGGAGGATCCAGTGTGAGGCTGGCCTACAGCTAGGAGGGCTGACTGTAACTGAAATGATAAAGAGCTTACTTAGCAAGCATAATGACCTGAGTTTAAGTCACAGTACCTTAACAAAGATGCTGCTGCCTATACCAGTCTGTGTGAAGACTTCATAGGTGACCACGCACAGGGGTCTGTGCAGGTGTCACATTATCTCTGAGCTCCAGTTTGCCTCAGTCTCCACCACTCCTTCCCTACAGTCACCCCCTGAACTGCGTCTCCCTTGCTGCAGCTAGTGACCTGGCTCTAGCTAGTGACCATCTGGAGATGCTACTTGCCTGAGGATGTAGCCACGCAGCACTCCATTATGCTCTGTCTCTGGGGGTGGCTGCCACTGCACCATGATGGACTGGTTGGTCCGCCCACTGGCCACGATATTTTTTGGGGGAGCACTTGGAGGTTCTTCAGGTAACATCAACCTAATGATAAAGGATTGGTTGGGTAGAGACATGAATGCCAGGAACAAAGGACGTTGGCAGCCTTTACCATGCAAGGCACACGGATGATGACTGGAAGCCTGAAACAGTTACCACCCTAAGTGTGAAGCAGTTACCAGAGGTCAGCACCCTGGAAAATCAGTTAGGCCAGTGACAAGGGAGGCATGGGAGGCACGGGAGGTGAGCGGTGTGTCTGAAGAGATTGGTTGGAGCCATTTCTCTGGGTCACGTCTGCTTGGAACTTCCAAAATGGTCATCCATTCCCAGGGAGGCAGGGCGGGGGAAAGGTCCAGCTCCCCACATACCTGCTGGCCACTTACATCCTGTGAGATGGTGCATGGCCTCCACCTGAGGGCCTTCATGTGGAGAGAAGGCCCAGCCAGCACAGAACCCCTGCCAGCTCTCAGTATTCTGTTTATCACAGGCTATGCCCACTATAAGCGGTTTGTGTAGACACAGCCAGAAACTCAGGGGAGAAATCCAAAATACCTGACTCTGAGTGCTTAAGGAAAAGTCAGTGAGTCCTATGCATGGCTCCGTGGGACTGTCATTTCTGATCAAGTTTCTACCAATGTTGCAAAGGAATCATCAATTCCTTGCTTCCACCTAACATAACTGTGTGCTTGGCTCTGTGCCCATGTGGCCCCAGCCACGGTGGAGGGAGGGTGGCTGCACTCACCTGCTCGTCTCTGTGCTGTACTGGCCTTTCCCCACTTGATTCACTGCACACACTCTGAACTGATAGGTGCGAGCAGGAGTCAGGCCGCTTACGGTGACGCTGGTCTCCTCTGGGCCAACGTTTGACAGATGTACTTTCCATGGAGAGTCTAATAAGGATGAGAAAACACAGCGAGACCCACATCAGCACATGTTCTTGTAAGGAGTGGGGATAGTCTCCTTTGCTTTCCAAGATAGTGCCAGGAGAGGAGGGGGAGGCTATACCCACTTGCCAGTTGTGTACATTGAGGCTCGGTTATGAGGCTAGCAACTAGTGAGCCTGGCACTTGGCTAGCAACTAGTGAGCCTGGTATGAAACTCAGGTTTCCCACTGCAAACCTAGCATGTTTCCTGTTACCTCTCTGCTGTCATCAATAAGTAAAAGGTTCTTATTCTTTTTTTTTTTAAATTCAATTTGCCTCTGGCCATTAAAAAGGATCCAAAACATTCCTTATTCCTGGGTTCAATATGCAAATGGGAAAAAAGTTCTGTGTGGGCTCACATGGTCAGACACAGATTGCAGATTTGTCTCCTGGAAAAGGATGCTGCACTAGTCTGGGAATGATAAATAAAAACTATATTCATTAACATTTTAATACAAGAGGAAATGAGTGTGGTAAGACAGATGGGCTGGGCACCGTGCGACCCATCTGTGGGGTAGCAGTCCATCACCACCACAGCCCCGTGCAGCTCTGCCAGTGGAGATGCCGGGGAATTCACAGCTCCTTTGGAAATCCCTTCCTGCCTGGCTTTCTAGCAGGTGAGTGAGAACCGCTCTGTCAGCCAAATGGGCTCCTGCCTGCAAGGCAGGCTTTGGAAGGTTCTGCGGGCATCCGACACATTTGTGAGCGGTTTTACAGTTTTCCACATGCATCGCAGCCTGAGTGTTTTGTCGAGCGGAAGGGATCTGGCAGGGGCTCGGGCGTCCCTGGCAGCTCTGAGTCTGAATGCAGTGATGCCTGGTTCTCTTGGTAGGCCGGGAGTGAAAAGAGGAGAGGAGTGGGGAGAGGCCGGCTGGGCTGCAAGTACTCAGACCCTGCTGGCTTACACCTCCACAGGATTTGGGCAGTAGACAGGGCACAGGATTTCCCCTGTGGTATTGGGGGCTCTGCTGCACACACCAGTGATCTGCCTACCCCTCCCATGGAATCCCAGACACTCCCCCACAAATCTGAAGACTCACCGTGAGAGGCCCACAGCATGTGCCTCGGGTATACCCAGTGCTGTGGCACCTTCCAGGCCCTCCAGATGTGGCCCCCAGATACTCCAAAAGGAAAAGGAGATTCCCAAAGGCCACCTCAGTTGATTCCCTGATTCAGAATTTGCTAGCTTGGATTCCTTGACACCATGCTAGGCAGCTCTTAAAGGATAATCCAGTTGGGCTACAAAGAATCTTTTTGAATTATTTCAAATAAAGCTGCTTCCAAAAATGGCTTTCTGGAAATGTAGTCTAAACTACCAGCTGGGTAGTGTTACATTTTTGGCTCTTGATTTTTGGTTACATGAGTAACTGCCAATTGATAAGATCCCTTGTTTCTTTATGTTCCCTTTAAAAACATGATGTGTGCATCCCTAATTAGCTACACAGAGCCTGTGCATTCTTTCTCCACTCCTGTGGCCACCCATCATCACCATTAAACAGCCTATGGCCACCTGGCCAGGCTCCCTTGCAAGGCAAGAGTCACTTGTCAATGCAGAAGGTGGGAGAGACTTCTTATAGGTTGATCACTTTGTTTGCCTTGCCAGGGCAAGTGGCCACAGAAATGGTGTCATTCCAAAGGCAATGAAGCTGGTAGGAAAAACACATGGAGTATGAGCTCTTCTGCTTAGAGACATTTGAGGTAGTTTGCACTTCTATAAGAATGGGAAACACATTACAACCACGCTGACAAAGTACCTCGCACCCACTAGGATGGCTGGTAGCCAACAAACAAAAAATAGCATAGCAGGTGTTTGTAAGGAGAATAAAATGGCACAGTCATGGTGGGAAATGGTATGGAAGTTCCTTGGAAAATTATAAAAAGCATCATCATACCATCCAGCCATTCTACCTCTGAGTCTATATCAGAAGAACAAATGCAGGGGTATGGAGAGATATTTGTGGACAGTGTTCTTAGTGGCTTTGTCACAGTAGCCAAAAGGTGGAAGCAACCCAAGTGTCCAAAAGTGGATAGATGGACAAATGAAATGTGGTATCCACACAATGGAATACTACTCAGCTTTAAAAGAGAAAGGAATTCTGAACCCCTAAGGACTCAGGGGTCATTATCCTGAGTCAAATAGGTCAGTCACAGAAAGAAATATTACTAGTTTGATTCCACTCTCATGAGGAATGGTGGCAATGAAATCCACAGAAAGAAAGTAGAAAAGGCTCAGGGAGGGGGAATCAGGGCCATGGTTGCCTGGGCTCAGGAGGTCTTGCCGGAAAGAGTCCAGGAATTGGTTGTTGGTCATGTTGACATACAATGTGAGTATACCTGGCATTGCTGAGGTGCTCTTCAAAACCAGCTGAGCTGGTAAAGCTTGCTCTGTGTATTTTTACCACAATTAAAATTGGAAACATATCAGGTACAGAAGGCACGTGTCTGTAATCCTAATTACTCAGGAGGCTGAGATCTGGAGGATCATGGCTTTTGAACCTGTACAGGCACAAAAGTCTGTGAGACTTCAGATTCAAGATAGCCAGCAAAATGCTAGGCTGGAGACATGGCTCAAATGGCAGAGTGCATGTAAACAAATGTGAGACTCTGAGTTCAAACCCTACAACTACAAAACAGATCAAATTAAAATAGGAGAAAATGAAGAGAATAACACAAGGATGAGATAAGGCAATGTGTCCTGTGAGCAACTCTTAGAAAGCCTGGCCCAAGGTGGGCATTGTGGGGAGACACTTATGCAGGGAAGTTCTGTTCCAGTGGACCTGCACCCCACCTGCTCCTTACTTTGGTCCCTGAGCTTTCCCGGGGGGAGAGACCCTCTTGGAGTCTCCTGGACACAGCCAGCTGAGAGATCACCTGACAGGGTTACCAGGGTTCCCACCACCTGCACCTCTGCAAATAAATGTCCTCTTCCTAAAATGTCCTTCATTGTTTCCATCTGTGTGCCACCTGCTTCCTCCTGGAGCCCTGACTGATAAACAGCATGCCTCCCTTCCTGCAGTTCTCACAGCAACCACAAGGGGACGCCTCACCGGCTCCGTCAGAGTGAGTGACAGCTGTTGCAGGAAGGGACAAAATGAAAAGGACAGCTGTCCTACTCCATTGACTAAAAAGATTCATTAGAAGGAGGCTCAGAGGAGCCTCAGGGCACCGTCTGCTTGGTTTGAACATGACATCCCCCCCCGAGCCTCATGTTGAGGCTGGGTCCCTAGGGCAAACGTGGTGGTGGTGACTTTGAGAGCAGTGAGGAACTTTAAGAAAGATTACTTTCTCTCTCTCTCTCTCTCTCTCTCTCTCTCTGTGTGTGTGTGTGGTGTGAACTCAGTGTGCTGTCTCTGAGCTTTTGTACTCTAGGCTAGCGTTCTACCACTAGCTCTACTTCTGGCTTTTTGGTGGTTAATTGGAGATAAGAGTCTCATGGATTTTCCTGTACAGGCTGACTTCCAACTGCAGTCCTCAGATCTTAGCTTCCTGAATAGCTAGGATTACAGGCATAAGCTACTGGTGCCTGACTAGATTACTTTTTTTTTTTTTTGTTGCTGTTGCCAGACTAGACTTGTTACCTGGAGCCGGGTCATGGCAAAGCAGGCATGCCATCTCTCCTGGCCTCTCTGCACACATCTACTTCTCTGCCACGTTGGGATATAACTAGGGGCATTGGCAGATGCTGGCCTCATGCTGCGACTTTCCAGCCAGTGGCATCATGAGCCAAACAAACCTTTTCTCTTCATACCTTTCCCAGCCTCAGGTATTCCTCTATAGTAACATAAAACCACACTGGGTCACCACTTTTTCTGAAGCATCCCTCCCAACCTTTGCCCCCAGTAACCCTCAATCATTTGTTCACTCAGAGCATAAACAGAGGTATAAAGTCCAGAACTCGAGTCACAGGGTCCATTGCCCACTGTGATCTGACAAGAAGGCCTATTCATTTTCACATCTTGGGCTCTGCTCAGTCCTCTGGGTATACCTACAGAACCCTTTACTTATTCTCTTCCCTCCCGACTAGAAGATAAAAGATCTGGCAGAAAAAGAGATTAAACTGAAAACTAATACAAATGAACTCAATCCATCTCACAGGCACTCTGATTTGCTAGAAAAAAAAAGACACGCAGTGGTTTGGGAAGGATTTGTTCCTTCACAAGCTTCAGAATTGCAAGCTTGCTGAGAACTGTTAAAATTTAAATAGTAAGTCTGTTCCTGACAATCAATAAGCAAAATCCCTTTAAAGATTCTGCTGCTAAGTGCTCACAGAAGTGTACAACATGATGCTTATCAATGGGCTGGAATTGAGGGGAAGTGCCTGGTGAAGGGAACTATCCCATAAAAGTTTCCCATCTTCCACCTCCCCCTCAGGGACTAAGGACTCCTTGCGGGCCTCTGATCTAGAAGGTAGGAATGGTAGGCGTCCTACTACAAACCTCTGTCACACACAGGCTGTCACTCATCTCCCTCTTAGCTGTCAGGTTCAATCCACAAGGACTTAATCACATCCTCTGTTGGTTCAAATGCTGGTGCTTTTTAGTCTTTAGAAAAGTGCTAGACACATTTTTCCAAGTTTAAAAAACATTACCATTTTTTTCTCAATTAATGGTACCTGAGGAAGGATTTTTTTTTTTTTTTTAGGAATTTTCCTTTTAAGTGTTGCAAGGATCATCTCCATCATGAACCCCTGATGTTTGGAGCCGTGTGCAGCAGGGAAGGCCTTGGGGAGGTGACATGACACTTCTCTCCAAGTCCAGGAAACCAGGGCTCCTGAGCCTTAACAATGTCATCTGTACTGCACAGAGCGTCAGCACCTAGACTCATGGATCAGGCTGAATGTCATAGGCCTCGACTGTGCAGTGGGAGGTACCCAGGGGCATCTAAGGATCACAATGTGCATGCATGCGCATGCATGAATGGACACTCTTCAGGAAGACAACGTGAAGATTGGATGTGAACCTAATCCA